AGGGGATGGGACTTTTCCCAATGGGTCAGACCTGAACTATTTGATCCTTTGAACCTCCAAACAAAATGATGTCCGGCTCCACCCAAGACTCCTTCAATTTGACGTATCACCTCTGCCCAACCTTCACCCTGAGCTTTAGGACAGAGACCCATCTTTCAGCCTGTTGTTCATGGCCCATTCTCCCTGCCTCCTGAGAAGTGGACACCCCCTTCTGAATGTTTCAGGTCTGCTTAGGTTTCTGTACCAGTTTTATGCCCCCTCCCTTCCTTAGCACCCATTATCCTCATGATATCCCTGGAATGGCCCAGAAGAGGGCAATGATCCTGTCCCTACATGGTGGCCATAGCCAAGGGAGAATGGTGACAGGTGATATAGAACCCCAGCACACAGTTGATAAGCTGTATGAGAGAAGTGAAGTCCAGCAGGATAACTGTGCACTCTGCTCATGCAGTGGTCACTGGAAGGGGGATTTTTGAAGAGAAGAGAAAAGGGGCAGGGAAAGAAAGTATTTTAAAGTAAGGAACAATAAGAAAGCATTCCTAAACATGGCAACCTGGGGACTCTGTGAATGAACGTTGGGTTCAGACCCAATGGTCATAGACCCTTCGGGTGAGTGTAACAACTTCCACAGCGGCTTTCTTCAATGATTTTTATTTTCTTATCCCAAAGAGGATTGTTGTTTCCTTCACACTCAAACCCTTCCGGGTCATGGGCTATACCAGTGCTGACTGGGGAGGAGTTGGTTTGAACCGCTTCATTCTGGATATATAAAGTTATTCCATACGTTGTTTTCTTTTCACCCTCTTGGCTGTTTTCTTGACTGCGTTTTCTTTTCCCTTAACAGACAAACTTCACCCGTAGGAAAGCCCGGCGAGACCTGCATGAAAATAACCCGATGTTAAAGAGCCCTCAGAAGTTGGGTGCTGATCAAAGACCAATTCCGAAAGGAAAAAGATTCATTGTTTTTTTTCTAAATATTTAGGACAAGTAAAATATAATGGAGAATTAAAAATATATATAAATAAATAAAAGAAAAAGAAAAAATATATAGTTGTAGGAAACTATCTTGAATAAGCTCAATGAGGATGAAGAAACTTGTAAAATATCACAAAGGATAAAAAAAATAAAAAGAGGCTTCCAATGTGTTCCTGGAGAAAATGATGCTGATGAGAATCTTTAAAAAAATCATTTAATTGGGTCTCTTACAGCTTTTATCACAATCCATACATACATCGTGTCAAGCACATTTGTACATATGTTGCCACCATCATTTTCAAAACATTTCTTTCTACTTGAGCCCATGGTATCAGCCCATTCCTTCCTCCCCTCCCTCCCTCATGAACCCTTTATAATTTTTTTTGAACCCTTTATAATTTATCAACAATTTTTTTCATGACTAAAGAGAACCTTATCATTTGGACGAGGTTGAAAAAACTTTCCTCCAAATATTTCTGATTACTGTTTACAAGAATAAGGATTACAAAGACAAGTCACAAGAGTGAGGGTCATTGTTTGTGTAAATAGTGTGCAGTAACTTAAGTTTTCAATATGCACAAGTCAACCATCCATGTATAGTGGTCTCAAAAGCTGTCCTGTACATGTAACTTGCTTTTTCTCAACAGTGTTATAAATTCCATACAATTGGCTAAATTAATGTTACCATGGGGTGATTTAGAATGTTCTCACTAAAATGATAATGTTGTCTCTAACATAGATCAGGGACACATATAAAGCATAGATACATAAATGGATTTTGAGTTGTCACTTAGCTGTAGCCCTAATCTAAGAACAATTAGTTCTAATGACATGGCCTTACTCAATACTTGTCCTCATGAAGAGATCTCTGAAGATATGCATGCTGTAGTGTGGTAAGCAATCCGATGGTGCCTGGCTATAAGAAAGACTAGCATCTGAGGTCTTAAAACTAACAGCCATCTAGTGACTCATCAATTAAGTCCACATGGAAGAAGCACACAAACTTATGTGATCCAAGGATGGTAAATAATAAAATCCAAATCGGATGGAGGGAATGGTATTAGAACTTAGATTCGGAACACCAGGTTTG